CTACACTTACAGCATAACACGCTACACTTACAGCATAATCCGCTACTCTTACGGTGTAACCCGCTACACTTGTAGTGTAACACGCTACACTTACAGGATAACTCGCTACACTTACAACATAACACGCTACACTTACAGCATAATCCGCTACTCTTACGGTCTAACCCGCTACACTTACAGCATAACACGCAACACTTACAACATAACCCGCTACACTTATAGGATAACCCGCTACACTTACAACATAACATGCTACACTTACAGGATAACCCGCTACACTTACAAGATAACCCGCTACACTTACAGTCTAACCTGCTACACTTACAGGATAATCCGCTACACTTACAGTCTAACCCGCTACACTTACAGCATAACCCGCTACACTTACGCTCTAACCCGCTACACTTACAGCATAACACGCTATACTTACAGTCTAACCCGCTACACTTAAAGTCTAACCCGCTACACTTATAGGATAACCCGCTATACTTGCAGTGTAACACGCTACACTTACAAGATAACCCGCTACACTTACAAATAACCCGTTACACTTGTAGTGTAACACGCTACACTTACAGATAACCCGATACATTTACAGATAACACGCTACACTTACAATCACAATCATAGATACGTTAGAAAACTTCCTCTACACTTAACACGCTACGTTTTCAATCACAAACAGTCACAAGCTAAAATATGCTACAAACTCACAACTACATTCACAGTCACAATTTGAGATATGTAACAAATTTTAACAATGACCAATTTGAGATACATTCGCAGTCACAACTAATTTGAGATACATTCACATTCACATTCACATTCACATTCACAGTCACAATTTGAGATGCATTCACAGTCAAAAGCTGAGAAATGTTACAAAACATACACATATTCACAGTCATATTCACAGTCACAACTAATTTAGTTTTTGCACATATTCACATATTAACAGTCACAAATTGAGATATGTAACAAATTTTTGCACATATGCACATATGCACATATGCACATATTTAGTTTTTGCACATATGCACATATTCACATATTCACAGTCACATATTCACATATTCACAGTCATATGCACATATTCACAGTCACAACTAATTCAGTTTTTGCACATACTCAGATATTCACATATTCACAGTCATATGCACATATTCACAGTCACAACTAATTAAGTTTTTGCACATATTCATATATTCACAGTCACAGTCATATGCACATGTTCACAGTCACATACACATATAACAAAACAATTTCAGATGCACATATTCACAGTCACAACTAATTCAGTTTTCCCGTTCAACAGCACACCAATCTTCAAAGGATCAAATTCTTATGTTCTTCTCATGAGTTATGAATAAATTGTGAGCAGATCTTGGGGCGTTTAGATTTCTCGCTTGCATTTCCTCCATCATCATTTGCTTGTATTCCTCCACGTCCATCATCATCTGCTGCTGTTGCTTCTTCTGCTGCTGCTTGCCTCTGCTGCTGTTGCTTCTTCTGCTGTTGCTTGCCTCTGCTGCTGCTGCTTTTGCTGTTGCTTCCTCTTGCCCGCTGCAAAATTACGAGCAGCTCGGGCAGCAGGCTAAATGCTGCTGTAGTCTGTGCAAGCAGCATTGAGCCTTCGCTGCTGTTCAGTCGCTTTCTGTCCTTGTATAAACACACACATAGAATGAAGAGCAACCCAACAAAAATAAAAAAGTAGAAAGTTTTCAACAAAGGAAAAAAGATGTTCTGTTAGATAACACGCTACACTTACAGTCTAACCCGCTACACTTACAATATAACCCGCTACACTTACAATATAACCCTCTACACTTACAGGATAACACGCTACACTTATAGGATAACCCGCTACACTTACAGTCTAACCCGCTACACTTACACTCTAACCCGCTATCGCGGTTTCAAGAACTGATGAAGGTATTCCTGGATTGCCAATGATGATGATTAACTTCCAATATCAAAGATAATTTAATAAGAAAATAAAGGATAAAACTAATGTGCTTAAACTTGTAACCATCAGTTCACAAATTTCGGGATCATGATATGCCAACTTATGAAAATATACCTTCAAATGGTTCTTGCTCAGTTTGGAGGTTCTTAGAAAATATACCTCCAAAGTAGTAAGTTTTCAACATATTTCGGGCATCTGATGATTTACAACAATCAACAGGGATAAAAGGATAGATGACATCTAGCATCTAGGGAAGTGAGCTTGTGGTGATTGCTTATATCCTGAAATCAACCGATACACGGATTAAAAGAATAGTAGACGAAATGTAAAAGTATAACCACATACATTACACATATTACACTTATGGAAAATATACCTTCAGATAGAAATAGAGCTACGATACGAGCTCTATGTCTTGCACAATCCTTTTGATCTATTGAAATTGGTTGGCCGGATACGAGGCTAAACATATATGACATCAAGAACACCCCGCAATCTAGGCTACTACAAGTATAAAAATAGGAAGTACAACTATAAAATTTTCATGGAACCGCAATATATAAATTCTATGTATCGGCAAATATAGCAAAACAACATAGGAATAGGTTGAATATACTCACCCACGTTGTTGCAGTACATCAACACCTTCTATCTCATGACAAGAGCTAATATCTATATTCCACTCATCGGGGATGGATGTCATAAGCTTCGCTCTAAAATCATTGGCATCGGACATATATCCGTGTAAAGAAGAGTAATGATGAAACCTTTTCTCTTTTATAGATAACACCAACATATGCCAATGAAATGAAGTTAGAAGTGGGAAAAAAATCTTATCAAGTGCGACGAAACGTGTACTAGTTATTGGCTTAAACATGTGTTCGACACTTGACGGATTATTTTCGTTTATGCATCTCTACAAAAAGCCAAAGAGAGAATTATTTTTAGTATCGAAGATAATACATGAATAATACTTATAATCTCCAATCGAGAATCCACTTACAATAACCCATGGACTGCAGATGTGTATGTTCTTCGCATAATTTGGACGCATCTCCATCAACATATTTAGAAGCACAACATAGGAGGCTATAACCTAAAAATGCACATAATAAAAAATTGAAGGTTATGTGCTACACGTGCATTGTGTGAAACGCAAGTACAAAAAAGGGAACTTACGTCGCAACCAATTGCTTCGCCTTTAAGTAATTCCAATGCATCCTTACGAGTTACCAAAGCATCACTTGATGACCACACTAATGTCTCCCTACATATGAAAAAACTTACTAAATATGTCGATGAAAACACAATAAAAGTCATAAAATAGGTCTTTCAATATTCCTTACATTGTTATCTTTTTGTCCCTCCAAAAGTTATCGAGTACTTCTCGTTCATCATCCCTTACTTCCTTCCTTCCCGGGTATTTTGGTACACCTTTAGGATTATAAACCGGGACAAAGGGATCACGTGTAGATGGTCCGGCGAGCCGCGATCTTGATAGAACCGTTCGTTTAATGGAAGGGGTTTTACGCTTGCCTTCAATCACCGCAATATCACGTGGGCTAAGCAAAAAGGCGTCATCATCCGGTTCAATTGACTCGCCGACAACATCGTCATTAGCACCATCTCCACCATCATCATCTCCACCATCATCTTTATCTACATTCATTCTATCTACATCTTCATCCTCATCCACATCACCACCATCCCCCTCATCTCCTACTCCACCATCACTTTCACCTTCACCTTCGCCTTCATCTCTATCATCCTCCTCATTCCTGCCATCCCCATTGCCGCCATCACTATCATCTTCATCATCCTCGTCATCCTCATCTCTGATATCACTATCGACATCCTCTTGCCTTCCACCGAATATTTCCCTCTTCATCTTCAAGAGAAGGTTTAATTCAACTTTCTTTTCATGGATGAGCCGATCCAAAT